GGTACTTAAAATTGACAGCCTGCAGAAGAAAACCACAGGCACAATTTTGCACACATGTATCAAATCCAAAATGGAAAATCTGGAGATTAAGCATGCAGACCTCAAAAAAATCACTGCAAAACTGGCCACTGTGGACAATTGATAGCGATTTGAGAGACTGATTATGAGCCTGTTGTAGTTTAACTATATTGACTGGCAATCCTGTGGTAGTTGCTTTATTAAGCATTGTCATTTTGATCATTAATTTCAGCATGAAATGGTTTTTACAGAGGCTTTTGTGCATTAGCCTAAGTGATTCTTCACTAAAGAGAGAAATCAGTATGTCAGTACGGTACTGGACATCTTTGAAGTTTGCAAAATTTAACTGCCCAGATGTTTCATGAAAGGCTTTCAATTCAGATATTATTTTCAGCCTGGCTGCCTACCAGAAAATAAATACCCTTCAATTTTTCATGGAGCCAGGAGAGTCTGAGGGAGTTTTCCTGCTCTTCCCTGCCCCCTGCCTGGCTGCCGGTACCGAGGTGCCAGAGTGACCCCGCGTGGCCAAGGGAGAGGCGACACAAACTTCAGGGATAACAAGAAAATGTAACTTTTACCCCAAACACACATCAGGACTTTACATGTCTTGTTGCAGCTCTTCAGAAATAGTCTTTGCTACAGTTCCATTGTTTTTATTTTCATACATGTATATATTAAGCCTCAAATACTAAGAAAGAAAATAAAATTTGTTTAATTACTGATTTAGGGAAAAGTACCAGATTCATACCATGAGATTTAAATTTAAAAAAAAATGCGCTTTTCTGAAGTCTTTTAAGTATTATTATAGTATTCATGATAATTTCTCTGACAACTTTTAAGAAATACTTTTTTCCTTATAGAAACACAAAATAATTTAGACTTTCTTATCCATCTGCCAATTTTATGTGTTTTACACTCTGGGTTCATCTTTTTATCCTTTTGCCTGTTACCAAAGGATGCTGAGTAGTTTTCCAGAAATTCAGTAGTTCCTCAGGAAGAGATTCTGAGCTAGGTGAGTTAATTAATAGAAGCTGTAATTCCTCATCCTCAGATGATAGTTTTAAAATAAAAAAAGATCAAGACAAATCTAAGAGAAGAGAGCCCCCTCTCATTTCTTGCAACCAGTGAGTTAATAGATATTTCAGAAACATATCTGGATTGTGGGGAGAAAAATTGATAGGTCTCAGGCACATTTGTAATACAAAATGTTATATGCTCAGAGCATATCAAACACAGTTTGCTCAAATCAAACACAGTCCAGCAAACAGCTGTGAAATATTTACACTCCTGCCCACAGTTTACATGGCAAAGGGCTGAAGTGAAGCACAGAAAGTCAAGGACTGGCTTACTCTGAGTGAGTTCTTAGATCACACAAGAAGAGCTGAGATCCTGTGGGGAGCCACCAAAGGTGTCCCACCAGGAGGGACACCAAGTGTCACAGTCCTTTCCCTGCCTAGTTTAACCAGTTAAATCCTTCCTGATCCCCTCAGGGGTCTGAGGAGTGCCAGGCCTAGCAGGGAGCTGCTCACAGCAGATCCACCGAGAGAACCTGCAGGGGAAAGGACTGAGCTCTCCTGTCATCCCCCCATGCCAGCAATTGGGAGCATCTCAGAGCCCTGCTCTTGTGTGAAGGAATCAAGATGGGACCCCCTCAGGTGTTAGATCACCCTCATCGTTGTCTTTAGTCCTCCCTGGAAGCAACACATGCAGAGCCAGCCCTTGGCTGGGCTGTGATGTTCTTCCTCTAGCCACTGGCAAGGGGAATGGCCATAAAAAAGTTCATCTGTGATGCCTCTTATGGTAATAGATGAGATAAGAGGAGAAAAATAGCACTGAAGGGTAACTGGAAATGGCCATGAGGACTGTTGATGATAAAGGCACAAAAATCTCTCCTTTTTTTACACAAAAAACCCCACCTGCTTCTGAAAGACCAGCAATTGGCAGGAAAAGTGATGGGTAATATGTCTTGTGCAAAGAAAAGCAGAAGATGGAGAGCAAACGAAAAGGAGGGAAGGTGTTGTAGCACCACTGGGTTAGAAGGGCCCATGGGCCTTGCTCAGCAAGTCCAAGCTGTCATGGAAAAGCCATGTTCCTCAGGCCCAAGGGTCCATGCTGGAAATTACCCAGATCCCTGGGTTTGGCTCTCAGTCAAACACTTGGCCTTGCATTTGGCCAGGTATTTTGTAAGTTGCATGCAGGCTTTTTTAATAATTCAATTGGTTGTCACTTAAAATAGTTGGGGAAAAATATTTTTTTGAGAAGTCCCCTCCCAACAGTCTAATCTAAACCCTTCAGAGGTCAGTAGAAAAGTTTTCATTAAATTCAAGGAACTGAATATAACTATTGCTATAAAGCCACTAATTATTCCCCAGGGCATAATGCCTGTCACTAAAGCAATTTGGAGAGACCAGCTCTCACTTCCAATTCTTCCATTAAAGGCAGCCAGCCACCTGTACTGGAGATACATGTTTGAGATCACTCAATTAATCTGTTAGCAGCAGCATCAATAGCCTGCTATTGATTCAAACACAACAAGAATTTATTGAAATAGCCAGGCAGAAGTAAAATATGCCCAACAACAGAGGAGAACACCCAGTACCCTGCTGACATTTACACATGAGGAGACAATGCTTTATAGAGGAATATAGTGGAACAAAATCAAAAGCCATTACCTAGAATGAGCCATTGATGTAGCAGATGTAAACCAGAGCAGCTGGTGGTCAAAGCAATGGGAAATTCTGAGATTGCTCCATAAATTGATGCAGCTTGTCAGAAATAAGGCAAGGAGCTTGGTGGAGAAGAAATAGTCAGGCTTAATGAAAGTAGGGCCTGTTGATCAGTGTTTCCTTATTCCCACTCAGTCTTTAGAAACCCAATATAAAATAAAATCAAACAGAGGCAGTGGTAGTGCTGTGCCTTTGTGCAGGCCTGTGGGCACCAAGAAGGAAATACTGCTGGTCAAAACTGGCTGTTCAGAAGTAACCCAGATACCAACATGGGAACACTGGGAAGTTCCCAGTCATTTGCTGCTTTAAGGTAATTTTAAGTGTACCAAATCCAATTGGACTGACTAGGTGTCTTCTTTCTAACTCAGCAAGTGCATTTCCCATGTCCTCTGGACCGATATAAAACTTGCACCTACCCCACACTTCAGCAGCCTACTAGCACTCAGCAACTTAAAAAAACTCAACCCACTGCCAAAACCCCAATTTGATCCTGTGTAAAATCCTGTTCTTGTATACACAAAAGTTTTTCACTTACATTACTTTTTAATGGTATGAAGGACAAGCAAGTGAAGTCAAACACCAAATTAGGTTTATCACTTTCAACTGGGGTTTACTTGTGCTCTAGTAGAAAACAAGATACTGAGCAGCCATAGTACCAGAGGCAATACTGATGCAACACTACATTATAGAACTTCATTTTAGATAGGAGCACATTGCTTTTAATAAAGTAATTCCATCCCCAGTTCTTACAACATTCGGAAGAAAGCTACTGCAATAGGTATCAATAAATAGGTCTGCTGATTATCACCCACAGGGGCTTAAATTCCCAAAGTACAGAGCATGCCCAGTTTTCACTAGAATAAAACTGAGTTTTAGGTGGCCAAAGCTTGAAGATCACAAACCATCCACATGCTGGGTGCAGGCAGCAGGGCAGATGATGTTATTTTCACTAAGGGAAGTGATTTGCCTCACTGGTGATTTTCCTCATTGATGATAGTGGAGCCATGCCAGTGAGTCAGGTGTCTCAGTGACACTCAGCACCTGATCTCACTGAGGCACAGATAGACAGTGTTGTGTTCCCCTGGCCCTCCCCTTTCTAGGAGCACTATAATAGCTCCTTCAGAGCTACAGTGATGTCACAGCAGCTGTAACAGTGCCTGGCCAAACAAGAAAGATTGCAGACTTGAAGTTATTGTTTGAAAAGCTCACTTTAGAAATTTTAGTACTTAAGTTGTTAGTTAAGATAGGCTAAAGCATTCCCTGTATCACATTAAGCTGAGACAGACACCAGTTACTTACAAAACAAAAATAAGGCTTTACCAGTACTGCACAAAATATTTAGTTTGCCCAGCTGAAGTTTTTTTCCACACAGTCTGGTCTATCCCCTAGCTTCTGATTTTTAATGCAGTTACTGGCAGGTTCCACTTTTTCTACACCAAGGTAACCAATTAGCAGCAACAATTACAAACCTCTTGGCCTGTAAAGTCTGTATCAAGTTACTGCATGCAAATGGAGACAAATTAGGTCCTACTTTGTCTTGAAATTGCATCCTTTCACTGGTGTTAACAGAAAGGAGTCAGCCATCACAATCCTCTCCCCCACTGCCTTCAATTAAGTAACTTACCTGTATGACTTCAAAACTCCTCTCCTCCTCAGTGCTCTGCTATCAAATGATCTCATTAAGCCAAGTTTCCAGTATTTCTGGAGATTAAGAAGCACTTTGCAGAAGCCCAAGTGTATTTATCTCTCACCATGCTTCTTGTTAACAAAAGTTAGGTTAACACTTTCAGCTACTCATGGACACAACAAACATGTGATGAACTGGATGGATGTCATCACCTCCACTGCTTTTAGTGTCCAGAGTCAGCAGCTGTAGGAGAGCTCCTACAAACCTCATTGCTTAGAGTTCATATCAGAGCTTTCAGACACCTGATTTAGAAATGTAAATACTTTCAATACTATTGCCCACTGTGCTGCAAGCCTTGGCCCCAGCCAGCAAAGAAAGGAGCACAACACTGCCTAACATGTAAACCCCACCCCTGCTGATGTGTCTGAAGGCCAACAATGAAAGTAGGAATTGGAAACTAACACACAATCCAGTATTAGCACACACTTTAAACTTTATTTGAACTTTTAACAATATTCTCACCTGTTCAATTAAATGCCAGGGAGCTTAAAAAAGCTTCTGCTTTAATTATGAAAAAGTCTGGAGCCATGTGGCATCTCAGTTTATGATTACAATTACTAGGAGTTCACAACAGCCAACATCTTGGTAAATTCTTGGGCTTCCAAAACAATAACAAAAACATAGAGTAAGGGAATTATCTCAAATAATGATTTGCAGCTGCCTTGAAAAACTCAAAATCAGTTTGGCCATCCACACTTTTTAAGTTGCTGTTTTTCAGCATATCTCAGTGTCCTTTGGCACATCAGTTGCTATGCTCAAGTAAAACTGTAACTGACACAACACTGAGACAACTCAAACTCGAGAATTTCCTATCATATCAGGAACAACCATTTACAAGTTTGTGTTAGCACCTTTTTTAGCCAAGTGGTATCTTTCCAGTGCATTCCAAAGAAAACAAGTGTCCTTCTGTAGAGCAGCTGTGGCCTGGAAATAAGTTCAGTCCTTCACTGGGGTTAAAGCTTTATTTATAGAAAGGTGTCTGCATTAATTGCAGCAATATTTGCATTGGATTTGAACTCAGCACTAACAGGTTAATATTTACATTTAGGTAACACTTAAACCAAAACAAACGGAATACAGCCAATCTTAAGAGCAGAAAGACAGACATACAAATGACAGACTGAAGAGTAAAAGTAATCACAGTTATTTCACTCTGGATGATTTAGTCTGAAGGTCTATTTCTTAATCAGATTAGCAGGAAGAGTGGATTTGTCCAAATCATCAAAATATGGATGGTTCAGGGCCATTTTGCCAGAAATCCTTTTTGCAGGATCATAAATTAACATTTTCTGGAAGAAAAAAACAAAACCACATTTATTTCCTCATAAAATGGGAGCTAAAATCATGTTAAATACATAGATATTTCACCATAATATTAACAAATAACTACAAAGACATTTTCCCCCTTTGTTCTGTGCTCTCCTAGTTGGAGAGGTTATTTCCCCTACAAGTCAGTAGCAGTGTGTAGTATCTCAGAAGATGAAGAATCCCCTGTTCAATAACCAAGTACCACTTCCACTGAACTAAATCCAGAACCAGGCAACCAAGCAGCAATAATTGTCTCAGCTTCTTACTGAGGGAAATTAATAAGCTTTAGGCTGGTAAAGCCCTAAATGTTTACAAGGACAAGTGGTCTGACACTTGTTTGTTGCTGACATTGAGCAAAGTGATGTCAAATGGCTTCTGCTCAGGTTGGTGACTTTACAATTAAAATAACAGAATGCTCACTCAGTTTCAAAATCCAGACTGGAAAGTAGATGACAAGCAGGTAGAACTGAAGAAAACAGTTAACACTTGAGTCTCTATGCAATAAAATATTTCAGTTGAATACCTCAAAGGTGATGAGAGCAAAAAGAGGGAGTGTCACAGCCATTAAAATAACCCTCAGAAGTTTCTAAAACAGGAGGAAATTTGTTTTCCTAGCCATTAAAAAAAAGTATGTATAGCTTATACAAGGGGTCAAAGCAGGAATGAAGCATTCAGCAGCTTTGTACTAGACCCAAAACAAGCAAAGTTTTTTTATTTCTCCTTACTAAAGGACAGACCATTTCAAATTCAAGTAATCAGGATTCCACCAGCTGCCTCTCCCCTGTCTGCACAACAAATCTGTCTTCCAGAACAAAACTTTACCAGTCTTACTCTGCCCAGTATTCAGTCTTGACATTTAATTATCTTTACACTTCATTCTACAGGGAGTCTTCCAGGTTGATTTAAACCACTGAATTTGCATTTATATTCTCTGACCTTCTGCCAAATACAATGCTGCCTCTAGATTTAACCTTGCATGCCCAATTTTACTTTGTGGCAGGTTCCCATTACCTACACCTAGAACAGTGTCCTATAGTTAATTCTGATATTAAAGTTTCTCTCAAAATTGACTCAAAGAGGGGAATTTCTCTGAGAAAGGGATGCTGTGACACTGAGACTACAGCACCACAACTGATAGGGCCAGTGAAGGAAACCTGTCTGAGCAGTCTGGAACATTAGTTTTCCCTGGCACCTACTGTCCTGATAATTCAAAGCTTTTGAGGACAGCCATCAAGTGCTTTGAAATGCTGGCCATAGAAGTCATTTAGCTTATGAAGGTCTTAAACTCACAACCTCACTCATGCAATCTGAATCACATGTTTGTGTTAGACATTGTCAAAGACAGCTCCTTTACATACATCTGCAATAGTCTATTGAAAAAAAATTAAACATTGAAACATTTTCACTGACATATCTGAGCTTGTGCTCTAAAACAATTTAATTTTGTTGCCTTTAAAGTTATATTATGGGTTTAAAAGGCTTAAAAGTGCCATAGGAAACTTAAAGGGATTCCAGTCAGGAATACCATTGTCACCAGACACTAATAGGAAACTTAAAATGTGAACATTGACTAAGGCAGAACTATACAAGACTTTGGAGAATGTAATATGCTTTGAGACTAGAATTATGTTAACACCATAAAGAATTAGTACTTTTTTTAAACTTTATTAGCAGCAGCCCCAACCACTGGTTTCACAGAGTGATGCCCAACCTAAGCTCAGATGAGCCCTTGGCAGGTCCTTTTCATGCAGCTGTTTCAACAAGATTCTCCTGCCTGTTCCTTTCATTTTAGTCTGTAAATACAGTCAGCAATAATTCTATTTCAAACTGATTTAATAAAGATGCTGTCAGGGGTTGTATCTCCTTAAGACAACTGTGCTGCAAGGTTCAGAGCTATCCAGGACAACTGCATGTTCAACAAATGCTCAGGCTGTCAGTGTGAACTGGGGCTGTCCCCCAAGAAAAACTGAGAAATTGTGATCATTTGAGCTTTTTGGGTAACACTGCTTCCTTCAGAGCATTCTGCCATATTACCAATATGAGTAATAAACTGCTCTGTGACTGCTCACAGCCATGAGCCAGGTACACAGGTACTGCTGTGCAAGGGGGTTCTGAAGTGTCAGCTTGCCTTGAGACACACAGAGCACCCAACCCACAGCCCCATCTGTAGGTCTGCACTGTACAAATGTAGCTTTAGAACAGCCAAAGGACAACCAAAGTACATTATTATACCTCAGGACATCTAATAGCACACCTAGGATGTGACCTAAATTAGCCCTCAGCGGCAGCACATGAGCTGGAGAGCACTAAATGGAAAAGACTGATGAAGAGCTTGCCAATTAAAAGCCTGGTGTGGTGGTTTAACTGCCTGGCCACAGAACTAAAGGAAACTCACACAGACGCATCATACTAATTAAAAGTTAATACACCACAGCCAAGAATATTTAGCTCCAAATTCAAGGGCAATTGAGACAGACACTACAGACAGACTTGAACTAAGTTTCTTGTCTCAGCTAATCAATACATTCAGCTGTTTCTATCCTTGTATTCAGTTAAGACCATCATGAAAGTTTAACCAAGATGAGCCCACCAAGATTAACCCACATGCTACCACAAAACAAACATTTCCAACTGGCTCAGCAGTCACACAGCCACATCACAACAGGTGCTAGCAGCAGAAAGGTGACAGCTACTTCATGGGCAGAAGCCTTCACTTAAACCTCTTTGTAAAGACTCATCCTCACTTTCAAGTTGTACCTGGCTTATTATTATAAAAAAGCTGAGGCATAATTGCTTCAAGTGAAAAACAGTCTGGTATTACTTGTGAAAGGAATTAATGTCACACAAGGTGTGAGTTGTACAAGAATGAAGGCTCATACCACTGCTGATAGCTTGAAGATCTCCATATTTTCCTTCCAGCTATGACTGATGAGTGCAGCTTTGTGTATTCTGGAGTATTTCAAACAGCCCACTCAGGTTTTAATCAGCAGTTTAGGACAGACTACTTACAGCCAGCAGATCAAGTCCATCTTTATCCAAGTTTTTGACATGTGTTTCAAGGCTGACAGGTTTCCATTTTGGGAATGTGTTTTTATAGTCTTGCAGGGATTCCACCTCAGGCCACACCTCGTTGTTGGGGGTCCCTAAAGCTCTGTGCAAGCATAAGCAAAATGTTAAACAATTTAGTCTGAAATCTGTTATGAGCTATTACACTTATACACAACTGCTGTGTGGTACCACACAGGTAGCAAGGAAAGGTTCAGCCTTACATACCTGAAGATTCTGAAGATCTGGTCAATCTCTGAATCCCCATGGAAAAGTGGCTTTTTAGTTGCCAGCTCAGCAAATATGGTTCCTATGCTCCAGATATCTACAGGAGTAGAGTAACGAGCAGAACCCAGCAGCACTTCTGGAGACCTGTACCACAGTGTCACTACCTGTGGAACAAGGAAGGGTTAAGTTTGTGGAATCAGCTCCTTTAATTGACTGCAAGATCAATGGTTCATTTGTTATTAAGCAGCATTCACAGCTTTTTGCAAAAACAGCCAGTACTATAAGTTTAGTGGAAGTGTAATACTAGTTTCAAACTTCATTTGTAGACAAACCAACCCCATTGCAGTAGCTTCTACTTCAAGAAAAGCAGCTGCCTGCACAACTTCCCTAAGAGCAGGAATCCTTTGGCACCCAGTCACAAAACCCCTCAATCCCAAGTGCTGTGCAAAGCAAAAATGCCTTTATGACAGTGAGCAACAAGTTTGAGTCCATCTGACTCACTCTGAGTGGGAGTCATAAAATGTTTTGGAACCTTAGCGTGAAACCACAGCCAAAGAACTGGAAAATTGTTTTGGAAAACAAAACATAACATAACTTTTTCATAGTTTTGCTAGCTTATGGCTTGAAAAAACTGTTTCTTTTTAGCTGTTTCAGAATGAGTTCTTAGCAGGAAGCAAGTGCACACTATCCAAACCACCAGAGGTATGTCCCAACTCACTTCATGTGTGTAGACCCGCACTGGGATTCCAAAGGCTCGGGCCAATCCAAAGTCTGCCAGTTTAATCACTCCCTTGTCATCTATCAGAAGGTTCTGAGGTTTCAAGTCTCTGTGCAGAACTCTTCTTGAGTGGCAGAAGACAATGCCTTGCAAAATTTGGTACAGGTAACTCTAGAAAGGATGAGGTAGCAGGAAAGAAAGGAGTTACCTTTAGTACATGTCAGTGTCCTGCAACACAAAGGTGTTCCCTTCATTAGCTCTCCCCACAGCAGCAGGAAATGGAGATCCAAAGCATTGCAGATACTAAGTTAATATCAATCAAAAAGCTACACAAATTAGGATTAGTTTAAGGCAGTTTAATCTCAGTAATTAAAAGATTTTCAAGTGGCATTTGAAAGCAAAACTCACATTCATCTTATTATCTACTGCTGCTTATTTAACCTTTCATTTTCCTCAAGGAGTTAATTATACTGAAAGTAAGAGCTGCTTATGGTTTAGTAGGTCATCATTAAATTCCCTCTTGGGTTAAGAAATTGTCCTCATTACCTTGACACGTGAACGCTCCAGATACTGGCCAGATGGAATACTATCCAAATATTTCTTGAGATCCATGGAAAGGAATTCAAAGACAAGGTACAGTCTTGAATCCTGCATGAGAACATCCTGAAGACTAAAAATTGAGCATACAATTACTTCCACTGCAAAATGCATGAAGTCCCATTTCCTTTCTCAACAGGAATACAAGCTGATATTTCCACATTTCTATTGTGGAAGTCTTAAAAGTCTTCAAACAACAGCTAGTGAGTTATACTGTCACCTGGATAATCAAGTATATCTGAAATAGTGTCAAACTAAGATAAAAATCTATGAGGTTCATCTTAAACTTACATGCTCTCAAATCAGACACAGGAGTGCGAAGTAAAAATAATTTTGCCATTAAAAAACCCCACCTGTGGGTGTTGGTGCCTAGCTTCTCTTTGAAGCTGGCTTGTCACAGCAGAGCCTGAATTATTAGGAACTTAAGGGAATATTTAATAGGAACCCAATAGACACAGCAGGATTTGCACACATTTTTAAGTATCTTCTTCATCCTTATTGGAGTGTAAGGGTTCCTAAACCCAAACATGCACACATTGAGACACTACCTGGCTGGAACCTGGCCAGTTTTAAAGCACATTAAAAATCAAGTATTTTGCTGCATCAAAGAGCAAGCAAATATGCTGTGGGAAGACAATGGCTGCATTCATTCTTATATGTCAGACAGTCACTGATGGAAGTTTTACTCATAGCTCAGGTGTGCCAGCTATGACAGCATCAAAACACATCTAAATTTCTGCTACAGAACAGCAGGGAGAACATCACAACACTTAAGTCAAACAGTATTCCAAGGTGGTAAATAAACTTCTGAGTCTGCCTTAGTAACAGCTACAGCCAGTTTTCACGAGGCATGCTGCCTCCATTCTCACAATAACCTCTCTGAAAAGAATTTGCATAAATTTGTAAATTAACAAAAAGTAGTTAGAGTCCTAGAACAAAAAGAGGCAGCATGAGGAAGGCTTAATTAGAAAACTGGCATAAATATAGAGTTTAAAATATTTGCTGCAAAGCAGATACTGTATTAAGCAGAGAGGTTCTCATCTCACTAGAGGAGTGGAAAAATAATTTAAGATCTGATGGGAGCTGGTGCCCCTCCACCAAGAGTTTAGCTAAATAGCAGTATATGCATACCAGACTATATTGGGGTGATTCAGCTCTTTTAATAAAGAAATTTCTCGGATAGCAGTGCTTGGAACACCTTCCTCCTCACTTTCTAGGCGTATTTTCTTCATTGCCACCACCTGGCCTGTGGTTTTGTGACGACCTTTATACACAACACCATAGGTACCTGAACAAAAAGACAGTGAAACAAATATAGAAGTACCAGCTTCAGGTACAAATAAGTTATTGCAAACTGGAGGTGCTAACATAGGTAAAATCCTTACAAATGCAGTATTTGTTTAGATTACAGAGTACTACTTAGCTGTAGAGTTACACTGAGCAATATTTTTGTTTGTTTAAAGAAGGCCACCCATGAAGTGTAGCATTTGTTAGGACAGCTACTTAGAAGCCTAAGTGTGAAAGGTGAATATTTGGAAGATGTAGTTATAAAATCAGGTACTATTTCAGTTTCAAGCTGATTAACTTTCAGGCAAGATCATTATAAAGGATTATGATTTTGCCATTGATACATCATATTAAAATGCTAAAGGTTTAGCTGCAAACAGAAGTAGTGCTCCTTCTGCAGTCTGAGAGCCACTCATCCATAGGTGTGAGCTGTAGAAATACCTCTGGCTCAATGCTCAGTGCAGGAGAGAGCCTAGTGCTGTGGGTCTCAGCAGAAGCTGAAATTGGAACCAAGAATAAATCTCAAATCAGTCCATCTTAATTATCAGTGCTCACAGAAGTAGAACCCTCAAACCAAGACATTGTAAGCCTTCTCTTTTTACCCTTCTTGAAGCATTAATCCCTCACATGAAGCCCAAACTAGTTTATTTCAGAAAGATTCAGGCACAAGGCTTTGGTTACAAAGCTTTGTTACAAGATCCAAGCACACCTTTTGCTATTGCCTCAGAGTGGGCAATCTCAGAGCAATGTACTTTAAACTCTCAATTTATAAAAAACAGAATTCTACAGTGATCACAGACTGGATTTCCAATAACAGGGGGTTGTGACCAACACCTGCATTGAAGCCATCTTCTTAGTGCCTCAACATGAAGTAATTGCTAAAAAATCACTTCTCCACAGAGCTTTGCTATCTTGCTTTCCTCTGACACCTGCCCTGCCTGTATATAATCAGAGCAGAACAATCCAGAAAACGCTACTCCCTACCAGCAGCTCCAAGCAAAACAACATTGCACAACTTCAGAGGCAACTGGTAAGTTTATATTCAGAGAAATGGGGGAGCTTCCTAAGCTGTAAGCTGCTTTCAGGACTCAGAACATATATTTTCTTCCATTTGGAGAAATGTTACAGCATTAGCCATCAAAATGAAGGCAGACACCTTCAACGCTGGTCAGTTGTTTTTAAAAAGACCATGTCACTTTCAAAAAAAGGGGCAGGCTGAAAGTTTTTACAGATATACGTAACTACCACAGTAATTAAGCCACAGGCTTATTTAGCCACTTGGTTCAATCTCAGTGTTTCCTGTAACAGGCAGAGTGCACAGATCTTCTGGGATGCTTCATAGCTCAAATTGTGGAGCATTTAAAAGCTCACTGTTCTCCATACTTACCTTCCCCAATCTTCTCTATTTTCGTGTAATCGTCCATTGCTGTGGTTATCTCTGAAATGGACGGGAAAAAAGAAACAGAAAATGAGGGTGAACAGTTGCTGTCCTGAACACAGACAAGTCACTGAACCTGTGCCAAGTCTTTAGAAGGGAGGAGTGCCTCACGTAATTAAGATGCAACGTGAAACACTTACTGTTCTCATCAACAGGAACACTGAACATATTTATTCCAAATTCCAGCTAGAAAAACTACACCCCAAGGTACGAAAGGGCAATGACTCCAAGCAGAAAAAAAAAATTAAAAATCTTCGAAGAAAACTCTTCCAGGGGACTGAAAAAAATGCACCCTACTCATAATTTTTACCCAACTAGTCGCTTAAGAGGAACGAGTAAAAAAATTAGCTAGAAACAGACAGGAATGCTCCTATGCAAAACTGCGGAACCGGGTGTGAGCCACGCCAGGGGACACGGGCCCAGGGTGTCACCGCACGGCGAGAGGCGACAGCGGGGACCGGCACTCCGCACCTCCCCCGCTGCTCCGGACCGGCACCGGCTCTGGGGGGTCACGGACACCGAGTCACGTCCGGCTCCGGGGGGTCACGGACACCGAGCAGAGCCCGGTTACCTCCGGCTCCGGGGTAGTCACGGATACCGGGCAGAGCCCGGTTACCTCCGGCTCCGTGCGGCTGCTGGCTCCGGGCAGGCCGCGCTCGGTGCAGCCCAGCCCCCGTCGCGCTCCCGCCGCCCCGAGGCGCTCCCCCGCTCCCTGGCCGTCTCTCCGGGGCGTTCCCCGCCGCGCACCGGGCCGGGTCGGGCCGGGCGGCCGCGCTGTGCCCCGGGCTGGGGAGCGGGACCCCGCGCGGGCTCGGGAGCGCGCATCCCTCCGCCCCGGCCGCCCCCGGCCGCGCGCCCCAACGGCCCCGCCGCGCGCCCCTCACCTGCGGAGCCGCGGAGCCGCCGCGCGCGCGCGCCGCACGAGCCGCCGCCGCCGCCGCACAGGCACGTCCGCAGCACTGCGCGGAGCGGGGGCGGGGCCGCCGCGCATTCGAACCGGCCGCCTGCCGCGCTCCGCCAATGGCGCCGCGCCGGGCCCGTTCAAAGCGGCCAATCAGCGCGCTCCGCGCCAAAGCAAGGCCCAAAGGGCGGCTTTCGGCTCCGCCAGGGGAGGGAGGGGGAAATAGAGAAATGCTGCGCGGGCGGGCGCGGCAAGCTAAGGGTGCACCGGACGTCTCCTTGGTTTGCCGTCACCGCGAGCGGAGGCAGTCTGGCAGGGCGGGTGGGTCGTTCCGCGTAGCCCTCAGCCGGTGATACGGGGGCGCTGGGATGGCGCCGCTGGGCGGACTGGGCACGATCCCAGAGGCACGGAACGGGTCAGGCTGCAAGGAACACCCGTGGGTCACCTGGTCCCTCCTCTCTGATCATGCAGAGCCGTTCCAGCGCACATGGCACAGGATCATGTCCAGACGGTTCTGGGATATCTCCAGCGAGTAAGAATCCACGTCCTCTATGGGCTATCTGTCCCAGAGCTCGCTCACCTCACAGGTAGAATTCTGCCTCGTGGAACTCCTGGGCATTAATTCCTGACCATTGCTCTGGTGCCATTGCTGGTCCCAGGGAGCAGCGCCCGGTCCCTGCTCTGAGCCCTCCCTGCAGTCAGGGACGGTGTCCCCTCTGAGGGACCCACGCAGGGACAGTGTTCCCCCTGAGGGACCCACAGGGATGATGTTCCCTCTCGGGGGCCCACGCAGGGACGGTGTTCCCTCTGAGGGACCCACGCAGGGACGGTGTCCCCTCTGAGGGACACACAGGGACGATGTTCCCTCTCAGCTGTCTCTGCTCCAGGCTGAACAGGCCCAGCTCCTTCAGCCTTTCCTCCACAGAGAGATGCTCCAGTGCTTGATCAACTTTATATCTCTTCATGGGACCTTGGGTACCACTGGGATAACCCTTTGGGCTGCTGGCATGGTCTGGGGAGTATAATCGTGTTTGGACCAGGCTGGGCGTTGGCTGCAGCATCTCCTTTTAATCAAATCTGTAAGATTTGGATGCTGCAGCTTCTCCTTTTAATCAAGTCTGTCAGATTTGGATGCCATGGCCATCCAGAGCATAAATTCATTATTTCTGGCTGCATGGGTGCTGATCTGGGCAGAACTGCTATGGCCTTGGGAGCTGTTTTTAAGGCATATGCCTTAATGAGAGGTCATTGGGTAACTTAATTCCCCAGAAGCTGGGATGTGTGTCTGAAGGAAATTAAAGTTCTGCATGCCTCCTCCCAGATTAAGAAAGATTAGTTGCTGTGCTATCCCATCTTCTGAAAGAAAGGTTGGGGATGAAATTAGAGAGGCACCTGTGGGCCCTGCTCAGCAAGCAGTCTCCCAGCTGCAGCCTTCCTCCACTGGTGCCCAGGAAAGTGGTGCTACACTACACCAGTTAACAAAAAAATACTGGGAAAATACTACTCCAAACAAATTTTGTTACTGAGAAACTGAAATGCTAAATAAATTAACCAAGTCATGTGTTTCTAGTTTTACAAGTCTTTCCCCTGCAGGACAGCTCCACTGTGGTGCTGCTGACCCACTCTGGCACCAATTGATCATCAGCACTGGCAGTCCTGGACCAACAGCTCCTGTGGAAACCTACAGTCCCTGCAGGGGTGAGACACAGGCACCACTTCACACTGCTGATGTTACTGCCTTTTGTAATTACTTCACTGCACTGGTTTACAACATTCTTGAAGGATGGCTTTGCTGCTTGTCTGAAATGTAAGCAGGGTAGGGTGCTGCGATGAAAAACATGCGGCTTCTCCCTTAAAGCATTTCTTTGGGATGGTGATTCCAGGAGGCAGGGCAGTTTATGGTGCACTTCCTTCTTCTCACCCCTGCCCCATGGCAAAGGCAGAGGCAGCCCGTCCAACTCCTCCCCAGAGCGTGTTTCAGGGGTAAAGCCCCTCCACTTTCCCCTCCCTCCTGGGGAATTTTTGCAGCATATGGTGCGCATGCTCGTGGGTTTCTGTTTACTTTGAATCCTGTATTATCACCACTTGCTGGGAATTTACCTGCCTAGAACAAGGCTTTTGTATATCTGCGAAATTCCATACGGGAGCGTGGCTTGTGCAATCTTGTGCAACTCATAGGAGAAGAGCCTGATGTGCTCTGCCCTGCACAGTGACAGAGAATTTCTACCTGGGGGAGTTGTTTTCTATTACCAGCAATGTTGTTTCCTATTGCCAGGGCTGGAACTACTGCTGCTGGACCAGACCCTGCCTAGGGACCTCAGGTAGGTTGCCAAAGTCCAACTTTCCCTTTAGAGGAAAAGAAAACATTTCTTGGAAGTCCCAGACATATGGTAACCCTAGTTAATTTACAGACGTTGGTGGTGGTATCATAATCATTCAGTACTATAAATTGTTCTAAGTTATATTAAAATATAGAGAGATTATCCCTCGCCTTTCTGACTGGATAGTGCTTATCTGGGTTGATCATTGCTTTGGACATGGCAAGAGATAATGATGCTGCTTGAGACAAGCCATTCAAGTACATTTGCAGTGACTTCTGAGTTTGAAGGGATTGACTGTTCTGCTTGAGGGAACAACAGCAGTGAGCAGTGAGCTGACAACTGAGTCACAGATGGGTGCATGTGGGAATCCCCAGGACTGCTGCTCCCCTTTGCAGCAAAACATGGTGAAATGCAGAGCTGAGGGAAAACTCCAAGGCAAACAGCAAAGGAATCTCGACAACACAATGTTAATTGCATTTTATTTATACAAATGACCAAGGGGGACATCTATTAAAACCTCTTTGGCATCCCAGACTTGCCTTTGCCTGACCTGCAGCACTGTTTGTGCAAGGCACACGGGATCAGACAACAATGCCGGGCTGGGATTATGGCATTACAGCTGTATTCATGGCTGGGAACCCAGTGTAATGCTCTGAACAACTCCTTTTCTGCTGACTACAGGGCAGCTGCAAAAGTCAATATCCTCTTGTCTTTCATATATTAATCATATTCTCCTCAGCAATAACTTCACTGTGAGGAAGAGAAAAAGTGTGTTCTGTCTTTTACATAATGATGGGACTGAAAAGGTCAACTGGTTGGTGAATACTAATGAGAGTGTCTAAAATAGGTTGTGTTCACTGTGCTCGAAAGCAGATAAGCACAAACATTGATTGGCTCCTTTTAACATTTATTTAAACTCAAAGATTATTTTGTTAAGATGAAAAATGCAGAAGTACAGTAGGAGAGATGTACTTCCACTTAGGAATGCAAGGTAATATTAGAGGGATAGAATCCCTAATGTATATCTCAGATGATACATTTAACCTGTTAAATATCTTGTTATGCAGGACAGTTCCCACTATCATGAAACATGGACAACTTCTCTGCTGCTCTCCTGCTGCATTAGCATTTTGATAGGATGCCAGAAAACAAAAAGCTCCCGAGAACTGTTTAAAAATAAAACAAAAGGATGGAAACTGCTTAGGAAAAATAATTAAAATGTCAGTGTCTCCTTACAGCATTAATATAAATATTTTAAATGCACTTTAAAATAATTTTAACCTAAATTCAAGTACTTTAAGTTTTTATTTTTGTAACATGCACTAAATCACTTTACCTGAAAATCTCAAATATTTATATGATTGCAATAACGAAAATATCATAAACCATCTGTTCATTTCAAATAAAGAGATATTGTAAATAGAAGAACTGCTTATTCATGGTCACTGATTTTTCATGGGTTGGTACCTTCTTGGAGGAAAACTTAGCTGAAAATCAGGGAAAGTTTTGCAATGAACATCTCAGCACACAAAATCTTCCCCCAGCTCTGCTTTGCCAAACTCCTTTCCCACAACAGGGAATGCTCCACTGTCACTGTGGATCTTCCTTCATCATGAGACACGCAGCTGGTTTCATAAAAAACCTTTAGAAAAATACCTACAGATGTCCAACCTGGATTTTATTTTAGTAATTGTAATTAAATGAGAAAGGTGATCAGCATACATGTATCATAGCTGGGGGAAAAAAACCAAACAAACAGTGGTTTTTGTTTCTTT